AATATTCTAGTCCGGGAGACACCCAAACAAGAAAATTTTAAAAATTCACAATATGCTAACAACTACTAAGGAGAAAAAAATGCAGGTCAGGGGAATATGCAATGTTGTGTGTCTGAGGAGACAGCCTTGCAGGCTAAAGAAGAGACAAGTTCAAAGGCGCTGAAGCAGGAGGGGGAAAGTTAGATGGGCTAACAGGTAACAGCAAGGAATTAGCTTTGCCTTGGCAGTATCAGAATAACCTTCCTGGAAGCTAATTCTCCTGCTGAATGACTGAATTCAATTTTGTCCAAGAGCAGAGATCTGAAAAACTGAAATTATATATTGCTAGATCAGAGAGGGACAACACAGTCCCTGTTGCTTTTAAGGCAATCAGATAACTGTAGACTGTAAGGACTGTGCAGAATCCCTGAGCTGTGGTAACAAGGAAAACATAGCATTTTGATCACAGACTGTCAATTCTGGACCTTTCCTTTTGAATGACTGTGGGGCAGGAGTTGGGGAAAAGGTGCAGCTTACTAGGTAAACCATCATTTTCCTAGGAAATACATAAGATTTAATGACATTAAGAACTCTGTGGAGTCAGTGAACAGGACCCAAAATGGTGAAGAGAAGACTCTTTAAAGATTTATTTATGCATAGAACAACTGGGATGTAGGCCAGTGGTGCGGGGGGGGGGGGGTGAGAGCATTTAACACAGTGGGGAGCAGAACAGTTAGATCTATTGAAATACACTGCTGAGGGGAGCAGCAGGTGAGACAGGAGAGGTCTGCTGTGCCCTGTTGGTTAAGTTCCCTGGCTGGGGATTGAACTCAGACCGCAGCAGTGATAGGGCTGAGACTTAACCCCTACACCCTCAGGGAGGCCCTAAAGTAATTTCTTTCTTCCCCCAAATTACTGATGCAAGAATTGGTATGGGAGTTGGAAAGGGATCAAAAGGTGGATAAATTGTACTTTTGTTAATGGTTTTCCAAAGGAATACTAAAATCAGCAACATTTTTGCACAACGGCTCCGTATCACTAAATAGGAAAGGAAAATATAATTTACATTTTTATTTCACCATTTTTTTCATGTCCAAATAGCACAAACAGATTCTAAGGAAGAGTGGAAGCAGTACTAGGTAAAGTTGTGATGATCCTTCACTAGGAAAATTCAAAAATTAATTTCTTCACTAAAGCATTCAGCTCTTATATAGAGGAGGTCCCTACCTTTCCAGAAGTCCTAAAGCAGGGACATACCACCCACTGGCGCTCTGATACCAAAGTGTCCTGTGTCGACACTTAGTGCCCTTGAAGAACAGATTTCCTCCTTCCCCCAAAGCTGTGGCAAAACTACTTCAGTATGAGTTCCTTCTTATACTTCTATGAAGTTCCCACAGGAACTGGACAAGGACTCTCACACTCACAGACCTGTATCTTACCAAATTAGTGTTACTAACTTATAATGAAAACAACCATACTTAGTGTTATGGCTCATTTTACAGATATGAAAAATGAAGACTTAGTAAAGTTAAATAACTTCAAGTGCCGAGACACTATGTCTTTGACTCTACTGTTTCTTCTCAGATTCCCTGTGTCATTTGATGTAGACAACTAACCACTCCACGTGTGGGGCATGACAGGTTCTTCATGGCTTCTGTTTTCAGCTTAGG